GCAGCCCCTCCTCCCCCCGCTATTCCAGTGCTGGGCTCCCCACAGAGCCCAGCCAATGCCCTACAAACCTGCCCTGCAGCCCCCCCCCCGCCGCTATTCCAGTGCTGGGCTCCCCACAGAGCCCAGCCAATGCCCTACAAACCTGCCCTGCAGCCCCCCCCCCGCCGCTATTCCAGTGCTGGGCTCCCCACACAGCCCTGCCAATGCCCCTCAATCCTGCCCTGCAGTGCTCCCTTTCTTCTCATAGACTCATAGACTTTAAGGTCAGAAGGGACCATTATGATAATCTAGTCTGACCTCCTGCACAACGCAGGCCACAGAATCTCACCCACCCACTCCTGTAACAAACCCCTAACCAATGCCTGAGTTATTGAAGTCCTCAAATTGTGGTTTAAAGACCTCAAGATGCAGAGAATCCTCCAGCAAGTGACCCATGCCCCACGCTGCAGAGGAAGGCGAAAAACCTCCAGGGCCTCTGCAGCGGTCTGCCCTGGAGGAAAATTCCTTCCCGACCCCAAATATGGCGATCAGTTAAACTCTGAGCATGTGGGCAAGATTCACCAGCCAGACTCCTAGGAAAGAATTCTCTGTAGTAACTCAGATCCCAACCCATCTAACATCCCATCACAGACCATTGGGCATATTTACCTGCTAATAATCAAAGATCAATTAATTGCTAAAATTAGGCTATCCCATCATACCATCCCCTCCATAAACTTATCAAGCTTAGTCTTGAAGCCAGATATGTCTTTTGCCTCCACTACTCCCCTTGGAAGGCTGTTCCAGAACTTCACTCCTCTAATGGTTAGAAACCTACATCTAATTTCAAGTCTAAACTTCCTAATGTCCAGTTTATATCCATTTGTTCTTGTCTCCACATTGGTACTAAGCTTAAATAATTCCTGCCCCTCCCTGATATTTATCCCTCTGATATATTTATAAAGAGCAATCATATCTCCCCTCAGCCTTCTTTTGGTTAAGCTAAACAAGCCAAGCTCTTTGAGTCTCCTTTCATAAGACAGGTTTTCCATTCCTCAGATCATGTAGTCTCTGTCTTCTGTGCCCTTCCCTGCTAGTTACCTGGATGCAGTGCTGAAGTCTCCCCAGAGGTCTGTGGTGGCTGGAACAGCAGCAAGTGCTGGTGCCTTAGAGATGGATGCAGGAGAGTCCAAATCCAACAGGATATCTGAGGGAAGGAAGAAATACATACACACTCAAAATTGTCGATAAAACGGACTCACAGCCCTGGAGTGTTTAAATACCATCATCCTACAGGATATTTCCTCCCTGCAAGGTCACTGCTATTGAAATACATTGATCACCTGTAGAGACAACCCTGCCTTCAGGAGAAGTGATGTGAAGGTTCCAGGACTATATTACTAGCTCTTCTTGGCTATTCTTGCTGGGTCTCCACCATGCTTCCAGCTGTTTTGCTGCAACCACCTCAGGGATGCGCAACATCCTCATGACCCAATCAATCCTTTTCCACCATTACAACTAGCAGCCTCATAATTTGCGTCACGAACACTAGCTCCAAAAAGACAGAGGACTGAGACCACCAACTCATTTCACACAAGCCACTGAACAGATAGGAACTACTTTAGATTAGTACTGATCAGGGCTGAACGCAAATGAGTGACCAAACGGACAACTGATAGGGCTTGAGAGATTCACAGATTTCAAGGTCAGAATGGAGCACAGATCATCTAGCCCGCCCTCCTATCTAACAAAGGCCATAGAACTTCCCCCAAATAATTCCAGTTTGAACTAGAATAAGTTGCCCTGTGCTGGTGACCCCTCCCATCCATACTCAGCACTTACCAGCATTGCCCATGTTGCTGGATTTCAGCACTGGTGGCGGCGTCACATGGTTGGAAATGGCTGTTGAAGATGGGGGAGGGATTGGAGGGGCTGTGATTTTGCCACCTGGAGGGGGTGGGAGCAGGTTCAGCCCCCCCAATCCAGCTGCACGGGGTTTGGGTGCCCCTCCTTTCTTTGTTGGCATGTTCTGTAAAGACACCGAAATGGATTTGAAGAGGATTCTCTAGTGGAATACAGCTGTGAGCCTGGAAATGGCACTTGGCTCAGAGTTGGCTAGGCTGGGGAGATCCTTACCCCAATGTTTAGTTTGATGGTCTGTCCTTCCTTGAACCCTAGGTCCAGTTTGGGGCGTGTGTCAGTTTCCTGTGACTCCTTGGAGATTTCGGTCTCCTGTTTCACCCACCTGGATTCAAAGAAGGAAGAAAGGGAGAAGCAGTTGAGAGCTCTTGACAAATGGAGGCCCCAAAGGGACCATTTTCTCCTGGGGAGCACATTGTCTGGCTTTATTCCTAGTACTTGCAGGGTCAGCACTAGCGACAGACAGCAGAGAGTCAAGCTACCATGTCCCCAGAAGGACAGTCCCTTTAACATTACAATACATTCCAACCACCCCATCCTGCCCTGCAGTGGCACCAATTGGGAGACTGCCACGTCAGAGGCAAGAGCAACTCCGTGACCCAGGTTAACTTTGAGCCCATACCTTGGGTGACAGTGTCCTCAAGTGCTACTGCTGAAACTGCACAGCTGGGCTGCACCAGGGCCCAAAGGAATCCTGCCCCCATGGTGCCATGGGTGAGCACCCACCATATGCTGCATACCGGCAGAGGAACAATGCCCTAGGGGAGATGGGACTCACTTGAAGTGATCCTGCAGGGAGACATTGAAGTCAAAGGCGTCACCCCGATCTGAAAAGCCGATGCCAATGAAAGCGCTTCGCCCTGGTGGGAAACAGATGTCAGCATGGGAGGGGAAGCCTTGCAGATTCCTTATCAGCCCAATGTATCAACCCACTCCTCGCCCAGATGTCACATACGCTCACTCGCCAATCCACCAGCCCTGCTCAGCCTACTGCAATCCCCCCCAGCAGTCCCAGCCACCTCACCATTCCAAACATACACCAGCACTCAAGAGGGCAGCTAGCATCTATGTAACTCAGCCAACAAGCTATGGCCGGATCTCCTTTGCCCTGGCCTGAATGCACCTCATTTCCATGGCACACTCCCTGCTGCACCACATAGCATCTTCCCTTTCTACTCACCATTCCCATCCTGAATTCGGAGGACAAAGTACCGGCTGGAATCTGTCACAGTCTCCACTGCAAGGCCAGGGAACTGGTCTATGGGAGCCTGAGCAAAGAGCTCTCCTGGGGGATAAAGGGCAGGGAGTTAAGGAAAGGAATCCCATGCATTCTTTCCCACAAAGAAAACTGCTACACTGAGCTATTAACTAGGGTGTCCCCCCTAGGGTGAGTCAGAGGTAGCAGCCATAAAACAACCTTACACCCTCACCCTGCCTTACCTGAAACTTTATCCTCTAGCTTTATATATGCAATTTTGCCTTTTGACGTGACACGGAGACGCCCTGTCCAGTCCGGCTGGTCCAGTTTCCAGTCAGATGCCCTGGGCGGGGAAATGAACAGCAAGGTATGTTCACTGACAGCACCTCAGGCCTGCCCTGCAGCCTCTTCCTGTCCTGCGCTTCCCACACAGCTCAGCTAATGCATCTCAGTTCTGACCTGCAGCACCCACTGCTCCCTTATTTCACATCTCTTCTGAAATTAAGTACAAGTCTCAGAATCTCAACCCTCTCTCAGCTGTTACCAGCTCCACACAGGAGACTCTGATGGCCCATCTTTCTGTATTTACTCCCCTGTGCAGGCAGAAATAGAAATAACCCCGAGAAAGGCATCCAAAGTTATTAGAGATACAGACAGGGGAAAAGGCTTCAGTCCAGGGAAATGTTCAGAGTACAAGGCTGCTGAGTTGAAACAGGGAAGGCCTGTAAAAATGATTAATGGCCTAGAGAAGGAAACCACACTGTTATTGCTATTTACCCCATTCTGTTCCAGGAAAACAATGAGACGCTCTGAAATTAAACAGAGTGTGTTTAAAATGGATTAAAAAGGAAGTTACACTTTCACACATCCACATGCCATATCATTAACCACGGAACTCTCTGTTGCAGGATGTTACTTAAGCAAAGCAATTAAGGGATTTCGGAGACCAGATTATATATGTATATGACCGGGAATAGTATCTGCAGTGACACTTCAGATAAAAATTACTAGGGCTAGCGACACTTGCACTTCAAGGTGTAAGTCAGTCACACCAGCGACTTTGTAAGGATGGCATTGTAGAGTTTGATAATCATGTCCTGCAATTCCAGATGACATATGGTCCATCTATAGGCAAGGAGAAAGATTTGCTAACTGCTGGCCCTGCAAACTCATCCCGGGATTTGAGGGTCAAGATGAATTCCTTCTGGCTCATACATCACTATGAAGTGATGTTGTATAAGGTAAGCTCAACTTTTAGTTAAGCCCATTCACTCTTGGTGTCTGACAAAGTAGACAGGTGTAACTGAGGACATAAGTTAGCCTTGGAATTTGGCTAAATATTTTATTTTTATAATCAAAACAATTGCTATAAGATCAACTAGTTAATCCCCAAACCTCTGCAACATGGAAAGAATGTTTTCCATCCATAAAATGAAGAGCATGAGACTGATTTTGTTTCTGATTTTCAAAAGAGCTGAGCAACCACTACTTCAGCTGAAGCCAGTGAAGTTGCAGATGCTCAACACCTCAAAGTCAGGCCCCAGTTGACTTGCTCAAGGCCAGAGAGGATCAGTGGTAGGCCAGGTATTAGTAAGAAAAAGCATCTGCCCTCCAACCCTCTGCTTATTCATGCAGAACAAGTCATGCTGACTCCAGTCAAATCTGTGACTGTGCAAGAGCCAGAACAGAATCCAGCTCACTCTTCCGTAGCTGTCCTGGATCTGCAGGGATAATGGGAGGTAAAACATATTTGTCACTGAAGAGAGCAGGTATTGTATGACTCAGAGCACACACAGGGAGCAGAACTGTTGAGTAAGGTGCCATTTTTATAGAGAGTCATTTTTCCTTCCCTTGCAGTGTCAGAAAATCGAACACCACACCGCCTATGACACAAGCATTAGGAAGTGAAACCGATTGGCATTAGGACAGTGAAACTAACCAGTCAGATGGGGGAAAATAAACATCTACAAATGGCAAAGAGGTAGTTGGCTTTATTTGTATCCCTCATTTTAACAATCGGGGAGGGGGGAGAGAAATAGCTCGGAGGATTCCCCCTCCCTACTAGTCTGCCTGTGCATTTTAGCACTGCTGAAGACTGCCAGACAGGCAACCGCTGGAGACAAGAAGGCTCCATTTATCCGGAGAACAAGTGCAGCAAACACAGGGGCAGCACAAGCGTCTCTCAAAGGCGACCCTCCTGCCCGTGCGCCCCAGCCCTGCCCCGGGGAGAGAGCTCACTTGCCCCGGCGCTGCCAGCAGAGGGGCCTGAGCAGCCCAGTCCTGGAGGGCTGAGCGACCCCAGACCGAGTGCCCCCCTCCGTGCCCGCAGCCGGACCGGCCCAAGGCTCCGCAGCCCAGTCTCCTGGCTCCCCACCCCGGGCTTTCGGAGAGCGGAGCCCCCGGGACGAGACAAGCGCGGGACAGTCCCGCTGGGCGCCGGCGGGCAGAGCGGGGGGCACGGCCGGGGGTCGGCAGCGCGACGCCGGGACCACGGGCCGGGCCTTGCCCCCGCGACGGGGGGCAGCAAGCGGGCCAGGGGAGGAGGGTGAAGCTGCCCCCGGGGGCAGGACGGGACACGCCGGCCCCGCTCACCCGGGGCGGGGCGGGGCAGGGCAGGATGCGGCCCCGCTACCTGTATCCCCGGTTGGAGGCCCGCGGCGGGATGCGGTAGACGCTGACATCGGGCTTCACACACAGGATGGACTCGTACTCCGCCTCGGCCGCCGCCATCTCGGATCTGAGACCCCAGCGGGAGGGGCGGGGGGTCCTAGTAACCGGGGATGCTTCCGACCGCCATTTTTGTTAAGGGCAAAGGCTGCTCCGTGGGAGATGGCGGCCATGTTGAAATCAGGCCCGTTGAAGTTGTGGTGAGAGCCATTTTGGATCCTGGTAGCTTCACACTGGCAGAGGGCAGCCATATTGGCAGTCGATCATGTCAAGCGGTGACGGGCGCCATTTTGGATCCTGGCAGCTTTGTCGCCGCTTTGGGTGGCCATGGTGGAAGCGGACTGATGAAGCTATGGCGGTCGCCATCCTTAATCCTGGCATCTTCTCGGCCTTTCGTCTTCAGTCGCCATTTTGGAAACGGGCAGCGTGAAGCAACCATAGAAGGCCATCTTGGTTCCTGGCAGATCAGGCCCTGGCCCTGTGGTTCCCCAGAGGGGCATCCCAAGTGTGATGGTGCTGGCTTGTGCTGGCTCAGGGGCTAAAGGGCCCTGGGAGATTTTGAGGGGGCAGGTGTTGAGGTGGGGTGTGACGATAGAGATAAGGGGCGCAGGACAGCATGGGGGCATGTTTTGGGGTGCAGGGCAGCATAGGGGCATGTTTCAAGGCTGTGGTGGTTCAGGAGGGAGGCTGAGCTGCCAGTGCCCTAACGTGGCATGGGCAACTGGCTCCCACAGGGCATCAGCCGCTCCTTGCCCCAGTGCCCAGGGTAGGGCTAAAATGAGCACTGCTAAACCATGGACATACCGACAAGAAGAGCGCAGCGCAACCACTGCTGACCCGAGCGTTCCAAAAATTGAATCAGGCCCCAGAAATCAGGAGATTTTTCTTTTTTAAAATGATCCTTATGGGATTCTTTGTCTGCTGGTTTCTGCACCGTTAGCGTGCACTGGCTTCCTGTTTCCAAGCTTTTTTCTGTAACCGCAAGGGCTAGAAACAGTTGCTTTAAATTAAAGCTAGAATTCTACTGTAATCACATTAATCTAGGAGCTGAGTCTTTAAGAAAAACACCAAGTACCGCAAGACTCATGGTAAAAATTGAAAGATTTGGCAACACTGACCAATCACAAAGTACCTGAGGGGAAATGGCCCACTTCTCCTCCTTGCCACCTGTCACTATGATGAAGACGGTGCACCCCAAAATGAACAACAAATCCAAACCATTCCTGCCACACAAATCTCTGCTAAAAAACCTACCCCGATACCTCCATACATTGTGACTAACAGCTGCAAATGCAAATGAGGGGCAATTGAATATGCAAACAAGGCAAATGAATATGCAAGTGAGGAGCACTTGACTACACAAAGGAGCCATCTTGGTTTGTTGTCAGGGTTCTCTGAAAGGCCAAGCGGCCTTCTAAACAAATTCCACGGGCCCAGCTCTTGGGAACATCCCCTGCAAAGCACTGAGTGGCATCCGGAGGGAGGTCATCTCTGCTGCTGTGTGCCACAGAAACCCAACTGAACATGGCTTCCTGGTCTTATCATTCCCATCCTGGGCAGCAGACAGAAATGCTGGCTAACTCCATGCTTAAGTCAGCTCTGGGATTCCCCACTCCTCTTGGAAATGCTCAATGACGACCACCCCCACTTAAAAACATTACAACAACAAAAACCAGTACCCCCCCGTCCCTCAAATCTGAGATTGTCCATCTTCCCAACAAAGATCCAATTGGTTTATCTCAACAGCAAATTATATAGCGATGCTAAATTATCTCCCCCACCCTTGGGATGTTGAGTCCCCATGATGGTTTGCTTCCAACTTGGTTCCCCTCACCGATAAACAGGGGCTAGGGGGTTATAAAACAGAAAGAGGAAACATGAGGTTTGACAGAACAGAGCCACGCTAGAAACAGGGGGACAACTGGGGGACACAGCTGGGGGAAGGGCAGCTCAACACTCATTCCTGCTTCAACAGCTCTTCTTCCTGCTTTGCAAGTGCTCACACAGGGTATGTCTACACTACAAAATTAGGTCGAATTTATAGAAGCCGGTTTTGTAGAAATCAGTTTTATACAGTCGATTGTGTGTGTCCCCACATAAAATGCTCTAAGTGCATTAAGTTGGCGGACCGCGTCCACAGTACCGAGGCTAGCGTCGACTTCCGGAGCATTGCACTGTGGGTAGCTATCCCACAGTTCCCGCAGTCTCCACCGCCCATTGGAATTCTGGGTTGAGATCCCAATGCCTGATGATGCAAAAACAGTGTCGCGGGGGGGTTCTGGGTACATGTCGTCAGGCCCCTCCCCCTCCGTCAGAGCAACAGCAGACAATCGATTCGCACCTTTTTACCTGGGTTACCTGTGCAGACAACATACCACGGCAAGCATGGAACCCGCTCAGCTCAGCTCACCGTCACCATATGTCATCTGGGTGCCGGCAGACGTGGTACTGCATTGCTACACAGCAGCAGCTAATTGCCTTTTGGCAGTAGACGGTGCAGTATGACTGGTAGCCGTCATCGGCTATCTAGGTGCTGGCAGACGTGGGGCTGCATTGCTATACAGCAGCAGCTCCTTGCCTTTTGGCAGTGGACGGTGTATTACAACTGGTATCCATCGTCGTCGTACTCCTCAGTGAGTTCGGTCAGAGGCACCTGGGCAGACATGTTTTGTCTCCTGGAGACTCAGTCCTGCCGGCAGTCCTATTGAACCGTCTTGACAATGATGGCTAGCAGTCGTAATACAGCATTTTCTGCCAAGAACCCAGAAGATGCTGATGGCTATCAGTCATGCTGCACTGTCTGCTGCCAGCTTAAGATGTAAAAAATAGATGGACCAGATTTGTTCTGTATTCATTTGCTTCTCCCTCCCTCCGTGAAATCAACGGCCTGCTAAACTCAGGGTTTTGAGTTCAATCTTTGGGGGGGCCATTCTGTGTGACAGTTGTTAGTGTTTCTCCCTGATGCACAGCCACCTTTGTTGATTTTAATTCCCTGTAAGCCATGTCGTCACTCACTCCTCCCTCCCTCCGTCAGACAATAGTTTTGCGCCTTTTTTCAGCCCAGACACCATAGCACTGGGATCATGGAGCCCGCTCAGATCACCGCGGCAATTATGAGCACTATGAACACCACGCGCATTGTCCTGAAGTATATGCATAGCCAGAACATGCCAAAGCAAAACCAGGCGAGGAGCCGATTACAGCGATTGCAGCGCGGCGACGAGACTGATGAGGAAATTGACATGGACATAGATCTCTCACAAAGTACAAGTCCCAGCAATGTGCAAATCATGGTGTTACTGGGGCAGGTTCATGGCGTGGAACGCCAATTCTGGGCCTGGGAAACAAGCACAGACTGGTGGGACCGCATCATGTTGCAAGTGTGGGATGATTCCCAGTGGCTGCGAAACTTTTGCATGCATAAGGGCACTTTCATGGAACTTTGTGACTTGCTTTTCCCTGCCCTGAAGCACCAGAATACCAGGATGAGAGCAGCCCTCACAGTTGAGAAGCGAGTGGCGATAGCCCTGTGGAAGCTTGCAAAGCCAGACAGCTACCGGTCAGTCGGGAATCAATTTGGAGTGAGCAAATCTACAGTGGGGGCTGCTGTGATCCAAGTAGCCAACGCAATCAAAGACCTGCTGATATCAAGGGTAGTGACTCTGGGAAACGTGCAGGTCATAGTGGATGGCTTTGCTGCAATGGGATTCCCAAACTATGGTGGGGTGATAGATGGAACGTTTCAGCAACATCAACGTGGGATGGCTGGGAAAGGTACATGATGCTCGCGTCTTCAAGAACTCTTGTCTGTTTCAAAAGCTGGAGGAAGGGACTTTCTTCCCAGACCAGAAAATAACAGTTGGGGAATGTTGAAATGCCTATCGTTATCCTTGGGGACCCAGCCTACCCCTTAATGCCATGGCTCATGAAGCCGTACACAGGCAGCCTGGACAGTAGTCAGGACCTGTTCAACTATAGGCTGAGCAAGTGCCGAATGGTGGTAGAATGTGCATTTGGACATTTAAAAGCGCGCTGGTGCAGTTTACTGACTCGGATAGACCTCAGCAAAGCCAATATTCCAATTGTTATTGCTGCTTGCTGTGCGCTCCACAATATCTGTGAGAGTAAGGGGGAGACATTTATGGTGGGGTGTGAGGTTGAGGCAAATCGCCTGGCCGCTGATTACGCGCAGCCAGACACCAGGGCGGTTAGAGGAGCACAGCAGGGCGCAGTGCGCATCAGAGAAGCTTTGAAAATGAGTTTTGTGACTGGCCAGGCTACGGTGTGAAACTTCTGTTTGTTTCTCCTTGATGAACCCTCCCCCCCACCCTGGTTCACTCTACTTCCCTGTAAACTAACCACCCTCCCCTCCCCCATTTGAGCACCACTTGCAGAGGCAATAAAGTCATTGTTACTTCACATTCATGCATTCTTTATTAATTCATCACACAACTAGGGGGATAACTGCCAAGGTAGCCTGGGAGGGGTGGGGGAGGAGGGAAGGAAAAGGACACACTGCAGTTTAAAACTTTAAAACTTTAACACTTATTGAAAGCCAACCTTCTGATGCTTGGGCAATCATCTGGGGTGGAGTGGCTGGGTGGCCAGAGGCCCCCCCACTGTGTTCTTGGGCGTCTGGGTGAGGAGGCTATGGAACTTGGGGAGGAGGGCTGTTGGTTACACAGGGGCTGTAGCGGCAGTCTCTGCTCCTGCTGCCTTTCCTGCAGCTCAACCATACGCTGGAGCATATCAGTTTGATGCTCCAGCAACTGGACCATCAACTCTTGCCTTCTGTCAGCAAGCTGACGCCACCTATCCTCTTCAGCCTGCCACTTGCTCTCTTCAGCCCGTGATTCAGCCCTCCACTTCTCCTCTCGTTCATATTGTGCTTTTCTGCACTCTGACATTCTACTGTGCTTTGTCAGCGTGGGAGGACATCTCGAGCTCTGAGAACGTATCATCCTGAGTCCATCGTTTTCTCCTTCTAATCTTCACTAGCCTCTGCGAAGGAGAAACATTTGCAGCTGGTGGAGGAGAAGGGAGAGGTGGTTAAAAAAGACACATTTTAGAGAACAATGGGTACACTCTTTCACGT